CTCAACTCCTTTACTAGCAACCTCCGAGAGCTCCAAGGAAGATTCACTTTTCTGAGATAAGAAGCTGGCACTTCTTTCCCCCAGTCGTGATTTATTTTTTTGCAGAGATTACAGGGGCCTGCTTTTTTTTTTTTTTTTTTTTTTGTAAGCTTGTCAGCCTGGGAGGTGAGCTTTGGGTTCACTCCTTCCCTTCATCACACTCTCTTACACACATCTAGGTTTTATGTGGCTTTCCTTCTGTTCATAATTATTTAAAATTCCTGCTCGGCTGAATCTGCTTCAGTTTCCTGGCTGTCAGATCTTTAGAGAGGACCCTTTGTAAAAGGGTGTGTAAAGCAGTTGGGGGGAAGTGGTTTAAAATTTCTACTGGGTGTAGGTCCCTTGGTTATATGATGCAGGGCTGCTTTGAACCCACTGCCCTCATCTAAATCTTCAAATGAGTCCCCGAGCAGCATGAAACGGATGCTTCCTTGCATTAAATCTTAGTATCTTCCTTACCATGGGAATTTGATTATTTACAAGTCACCCGCAAACCAGCATTTTAGTTTCAAGCAGACTATGTTAGCTGGAGTCAAATTGAGCTGCTAGGTCTGGAAAGCCAGGCACGAATAGCATTGATTCTTTCCTAGTCAGTTCTTCAAGGCTTGGGGAGAAAAATCTGGCCTTTTTTCTCTCTTTTTTTTTTTTTGGTCTAGCTTGCATCTGAAGACAGATCTGTTTTTATCTGTCTATCCCCAAACGGAGAGATTATGAAGCCAAAAAGCTGGAGGTTTCCTATTGAAAGTTTGGAATAGATATGTGATGCTCCTTAAAATCAACCTGCTTTGCAAGTTAGCACAGGAAGGAGGAGAAAGATCTGCCTGTGTTTTATTTATTTCTCTGGGGTGCTTTCTTAATCTTCCTAGATTTCACTTTGCCAGGCAGGCAGGGATGTTTGGCTGGCTTCTTGGCAGTTTTTCCCCTTTCTCTGTCTACCAGTTGGTGATTGCTCAGCAATTCCACATTGATTTGTTAAGGGAAGCGTGGTCTGGGTATACAAACCAACCGGCATCTTTGCTGTAGCTTTAGCTTGAACTCCAGCGGGTCCTTACTGTTGGGCAAATAGAGCCAAACAGGGTGATTAAATGGATTTTCCAATTCTGTGTTAAGCGAGAGCCAGTCGTTCTTTCCTTAACCATGGCTTGATTTGGTATTGATCCTAGCCACTAGGGTTCCTTTTTCTGCTGCTAGACAGAAAGTGTGGCGATGTACAGCTTGCATGACTCACCCCATCCTTGTTTAATATTCTTTTCTCCCCCCCACCCCACTTATCTTCGGCATCCAGACTTCTGGGAAGTAATACGCTGGATTCCTGTTGGGGTTTTCTTGATTTTTTTATTTTTTTTTTGCAATATGTTATCGACATGATGAACCTATTATTGTTGTTGTACCAGCTTGGCTGTTTGCAGACACCTGCACGCTGGCTGCAAAAATCTGCCTGCCTCCCTCCCTTTGTTTCCCTCCTTTTCCCCTCTTTAAGACAACCCAATTCATGGAATTTTTTTCTTTCTTTTTTTCTTTCTTTGGTTCTTCTCTTACTCTCTGCAGGCACACAATGGGGATCTTACCGTCAGGCCCACTTGCAAACCAGGATTCTCAGAAGAGGACTACACAGCCTTGGTTTCTCCAAATCTGATGGAAAGGCAGGAGTTCCTCAAAGGTAGGAAGGCTGACTTATTTGGAGCCGGAAGCTCAAATTTGGAAACGGGAGTTTTTTTTTTTATCCTGCCTGGGTATGTGTGAGGATGGGGGGGAAGAAAAGAGCTAGCAAGCAAAGAGGAAGAATCCCAAACTGGAAATGTTCTGCTGGCTAATTGCTTGGAGGGTATTTCGTGAAAGCTAGTAGCTCAGGAATAATGTAGGGCTTTGTTTGGATCTAGCAAAAGAATGTTCCGGTCGCAGCAGCCATTGCTTGCGCTGTGACTTTTTTGCCTCGTCTCTTGTTGGGAAAAACTTCAATTTCTATTGGCTGGGATTTTTCTCTCCCCCCCCCCCCGCCTGTGTCTGCATGCAATGCATTGTGACATGGAAGCATTCAGAGCTCCTTAAATCACTGTCTCTTTGCCATGCCTGTTGAACCAAATGTTGTTGTCGGATATGTGGTAAACAAGTCTACAGACATTCTGTTCTCAAACCCGGTGCTCGTTTTCATTACTGCCCTACTGACAACATGAAAACACAGCCAGGGAGAAGCTACCAATTAGCTTTACCAATAATTGTAGGATTATAACTGCTTTTTATTTTATTTATTTTTGCATCTCAGGGTGTGCGAGTGTGAAGAGTGATGCTGTGAACTCTTAAAACGGCTCCTTTAATCCCGAGAACGCTAGCTTGTCTTTGGCATCATTTTGTTTCTGCTCCCCTCTAGATCTATTTATTTTTTTTAAAGTTATGAAAATAATTAAGTGACATTTTTTGCATGGGGCAAAGAAACACAGTCTTTGTTTTATTCCAGAGGGAACTGTGAATGGTGAGCTGGATCATTTTATCTGTTCTAATTATTGGAAGGGAGGGATTTGACGATAAAGTCTCATGGAAGGGAAATGAAGTCTGCTTAGAGCAGGGGTGTCCAACTGGCAGCCCGTGGGCCAGATGTGCCACGGCCACCCCAGCTGTGCGAAGGGGAAAAAACTGTGGCAATAGGTCACGTGACATCAATGTGACACGGCAAGTTTGACACCAGTGGCTTAGAGCAGGGGTCTCCAACCTTGGAGAATTCTGGGAGTTGAAGTCCACAAGTCTTAAAGTTGCCAATGTTGGAGATCCCCTAACTTAGAGGAAAAAGCAAGAAGGTGGAGATTGGAATCAATGGACCAGACCTTGCAAAAAGGAAGGGTTACAAAAGACTTGATTTGGCAATGTGCCAGTTGGTTTCCTCAAGGGTCAAATGGTCATGGGGAGTGGAAAATAGCAAACGGAAAGTCCACAGCGAGGTCTGGAATAGGTTATGCATTTATTTACCATTGTGGTTGAGGGCAACCCGTAGAATGATGTTGTGCATTTGCATATTGCTAGAAAGAGGATTCTAAAAGAAGCGGATTTAAGAGGAACTGGATTATATGTAAACCGAGCAGGTTTCTACATAAGTGTTAATAGAAACCTAGCCGGGTGCTTAAGGGATTTGATGGGTTTGTCTATCCCAGTGTTGTTGGGTTTTTTTTTAACCTCAGCAGTGTTAATAATAGGGGTGGAAACTTGATGTGAAAATTGGTTGGATTTCAATTTCCAGCTGGGGATTTCTGGAAATTGAAGTCCAACTATCTTCAAGTCTCTAAAATTTAGAAGCAGAGGTCTATCCCACCCATATGTTGTTTGGTGGCAGGTAAAGCCATACTGGAGCTTAAACAGTGAGTCTTGGGCCTAGATGATGAAAGACAAAACAATTGCCACATCTTGACTATTTTCGTTACACCGAGATATTATTATAATATCCTTTATGTTCTGTGCAGAAGGACGTTTACATGGACGTGACTTAATGCTGCACCTTTAGTGGTATCATAACATCACTCCCTACCAGAAGTGCCTCTGTATGTGCTAAGACCCTCAGACTCTTGATACATCTGTTACTAAAATATTGCTTTTATGACACTTGGTGTCTTGAATATATTGAATCATTGGTCAGCAAGCCTTCCTATCTATCATATTCAGGGAGTACAGATCAGCACATCTGCCAAGGTTGTGAAACTTTTAGCATTGCAATAACTATCCTTATAAAGTTTCCTTTATAATTTGCAAAATGTGGGACTCTGTTTCTCTACTTACGACTTTATTCCTTGTCAGCTTTGTCTTTATGGCTTCTGTTACATCTCTGTGTAGGAGTTTGTCCACCATGACAATGTCTACTAGTTTCTCTTGAGTTTTAACTCATTTCTGCTGTACTTGCTCTCATATATGTCAGCTAGAAAACTCAGCTGGTTGTGTGTCTCTGGGTTATTGGGTAGTTTCTGATATCTCCTGAGACAACGATCGGTCACAAATAAATAAGGGGCTTGTAGGTGGATATCTTTTCAACTGGAATGTAGCACGTGATCTGAGCTGTCCTTCTGCACAGTTTTATATTGCTAAATATTCTTCAGTTTAAGGTTTCATCACTTGTATTATTTATTCCTACTCTTCTGCCCATAGAGCACTTGGATTAAAAGGTAGTGTGGTTGGTGCTGTTTTTCTAAAATATTTTATCCCATCACTTTGGGGGGAAAATACTCCCCATTTTTCCTGCTCTGTAGGATTGTTTTCTGCAGTTGTCCTTTTCCCCCTTTTATTTTGTGGAGGGGTTTGTGTGTGTTTCCTGATTTCTCCCTTTTTTTTTCCTGCCCAATCAATTGAGAAGGGTTCTATGAATGAAATGATATAACAATATTCATCACCATGTGGTCTATCAAAGGGGTGGGATTCAAAATGTTTAACAACTGGTTCTTTGGGCATGGCTTAGGTGGTGGGTGTGGCTTGGTGGTCATGTGACTGGGTGGGTGTGGCCAACTCAATATCACATCGAGGCACGCATCTCCTCGCCTGGCCTCTCATGACTGTGGGGATGCTGCAACAGTCGTAAGTGTGAAAAATGGTCATAAGTCACTTTTTTCAGTGCCATTGTAACTGAATGGTCACTCCACACAAGCAAAGTACCAGCAAAGGAGGGGGAAAAAACTCCAGAGACATTCCCGAAGACAGGAAGTCTAGTCCTGCCAAGAATGTAATAAGGGTTAATGGAGAGGCAGTTTCTGTAAGCAATACCAGAATGTTTCCTTCCTGCCTTCCTTACAGGATTAAGCCAGTAATTTCTTCTAACAACCGGTTCTCCAAACTGCTTAGAATGTTAACAACCGGTTCTAGCGAATAGGTGCGAACTGGTAGAATCCCACCCCTGGTCTATCATCAGATCCTACTGGGCTGTTAATGAGGGCAAGTTAAGTTGATTGGGACCAGGAGGGTGCCATGAATATATAAACAAATATTTAACACCAGTGAAGACATCGATGAAAAGTTATGAGTACTATCCGTGGAATAATCACTACCTTGAGATAGCACATCTAAAATAGTGCGTTGACTTCAATCATAGATGGAGCAGAGCAATGGGCTTCTTCAGGATTGGTTTCTGTGGACTGAAGATGGAGTATGTCGATTTTGGAGAGAATGTTTATGGTAGAGCAAGTGAGAGAAGATTCGGGTTCATGGAGGTTACCTTCTTTAGTTGAAATCCAGCAGAACTTTGATGCCTAGATCAGCGGTGTGTCAACTCATAAAACATTTTGTATACACGTTTGTTGACAACAGAAAGAAAGGGGGGCGTTTCAAAGAGCAGGCAGCAGTGTGGAATCGAAAGTACATTCCATTCATATTTTCTTCAAAGACTGATTAGATGACTGAGGCTTCTGCCGCACAAAAATCTAATTGGAGAGCATGATTGAAGATTCTTGGACATTTTTCATTGGATGATACACCCAGAGGGGTGGGGGGGAAAGCAGGATCAAGGGTGACAGTGAATTACGTATCTCAGAGTTGGCTATGCCCAGATTAATGCCAGACATAGAATGTTAACTTCAAATAAATCTTTTTTAGTTTTGGGAGTGTGGCTCGAGGCTCATGATTTAATTGGAGTAACTGCAGGAATCCTGACGGGGTGTTACTCGATTTCATTGAGGGCCGCATCAGGGTTGTGTTTGATCTGGGGGGGGGGTGGGACTGGCCAGCTCAACATCACTTGTGTTGGAGTTGCCTGTGCTTGGAGTGCTCTGCCAGAGAAAATGGGCTCCCAAGCTTCGTTTTAGGCTGCGACGGCCTCCTGCAACCCTCTGCCAGTGAATGGAGCTCTGTTTTTGCTGGCAGAAGCACCGTGGGCCAGTCCTTCACTGTTTCCAGAGCAACCCCACGGGCCAGATCTAAGCACCTCATGAGCCAGATTCAGCCCCTGCCCCTTGAGTTTGACACCCTGGCCTAGATGAAAAAAAAAGTGTACTGTAATGAATTGTGGGCATGGGGAACTGAAATGAGTTGCAAGTCCATTCTGATTCAAACTCTTGATCACCTTCAGATCATCCACCGATCAACAGGAAGATCTGTCATTAAGCACACCCTGTAATTTGCAAAACGGAATTGTGGTCTTGGTTTTGCTTCAACATCTGTAGTAGTCAGGCTGTCTTCACCACCTGGAGGCTACACGTTTGTTTCTCATGCACTTTTACTAAGTATGTCTTTGGGTCCACCAGCCTTAGTTCTTCGTTTACCTCGTTTGCCTGTCTTTGCTGCTCTTGAAACTGCTAAAGTAAAAATTTGTTTAGTTTGGATGATAAGCAGCATTCCAAAGCTGCTAAATTAACGTTGAATTGTAGTGCCTTCTCTTAAGAGGGCTTGGTGATTATCCAACTGATCCAATTGATGTCCTAGATGCCCATCTGTCCACATGCACTTAAGAATCCCCATTTGTAAAAGAAGATTATAAAAAGATTGCCTTAAATACCCATTATTATTTGGGGAAGGGGATGATAGCAACTTATTTTTAAAGTCTCAAGCAGGAGTCCTCCCTAGAACTCAGCTACTAAATGGGTGTGGATTATTTCATTTGTCCATAAATTGGGTGGGTGGGGACGATATTCTTCATCATTTTTATGGGTATTTTTTTGTTTTCACCTTTTTCCCATCAAAAGGACAAGATCGCTCATC